TGAGACGTCCACTGTTAGCCTTCCCTGGTAAGTTACAAGCTTCTTCTCTTGCTGCTCTTAAGAGTGTCTATTTTTGACTTTTGTTAGTTTTATTATAATGTGTCTTGGAGAGGTTCTCTTTAAATTTATTTTCTTTGGTGACTTATGATCTTCAGGAACTTGGATATCCAAATCTCTCTCCAGATTTGGGAAGTTCTTATCCATTATTTCTTTAAATAAGCTTTCTGCCCCCTTCTCATTCTCATCTTCTCTGGAACTCCAGTAATTTGAAAATTATCCATATACCATTTCTTTAATTCTTCGGTTGCTGTTGTTGTTATTGTTGTCCCCTGACTGGATAATTGCAAAGTTCCTGTCTTCTAACTTGTAGATTATTTTCTTTTGCTTGATTTCACTCTGATATTAATGCTATATCATTTTAAAAATTTCATTCATTATATTCTTCAGCTCCAGAATTTCTGTTTGGTTCTTTTTTATGCTTTCTCTCTTTGTTAAAATTCTGATTTCTTGTTAAAAAAAAAAAATTCTGATTTTGTTTGTTTATTGTTTTCTTGATTTTGTTGAATTGTCCTTCTGTGTCTTCTTGTAGCTCATTGAGTCTCCCCAAAACAGCTATTTTGAATTCTTCATTGGGTAAATTACAGATCTCCATGTCTTTGGGATTGGTTATTGGAAGATTATTGTGATCCTTAGGTGATGTTATGCTTTCTTGATTTTTCATGTTCCTTGCAATTTTAAGTTGCTATCAGAAGTGACTGGTAGCAGTCACTTCTACCAGTCTTTACTCTCTGCTTTGGGAGAGAAATACCTTCCATTTCAGCCTTGCTTGGAATTTTGAGGCTTTCTCAGACTGTCTGTGGGTACACCTGCTCCATGCTGTTCCCTCTTGTGCAGAATTCTGAACTTGTTTAACTCCTCTTGATTCTGCATTGCCCCCAGGCTGGGTGCTGGCAGGCCACCTCCGTTTTGTTTTCCCCAAAGTGGCACTAAAGCTCAAGTTTTTTGTCTCTTTCTGGCCTACTAATGTGGATTGGCTTTCTGTACGTCCTCACTATCCATCTGGCAAAGCTCACTCTTGCTGCCTTTGTCAGGATTGTGCACTGGGAGCCAGCCACAGGGTGTGGGTATATGGTGGTAGGCTGTGGGTATATGGTGGTAAGGTGTGTGCAGAGCACTGCGGGGTGCCCATGAGCCATCTGGGGGCATCTGTGGATGAGGTGTCCTGGGTGTCTCATAGGTGGGCTTGTTGATGCCGTAAGTAGGATCTGCCTTCCTTAAATGCCCTATGAGTGCACTGTCTGCTGCCCTCCCAGCCTCTTCCCCCATGGTGATGCCACTCACAAATCAGTATTCTGGATGGAGCGGGAGAGAAATGAGCCTCTTTGTCAGCATTCCACATAGCTGGGGAGGTTGAGTGCTCAACCCTTGCTCTTGTGTCCCTTGTAGGAGAAATCATAGGCTCAGAAGATCTCTTGTGGCCCTAAGCTGTACTGCCTTGGGAGAGGGGTGATGTGAGTAAAGTCATATTGTTCTCTTACCCTCTCCAGTGTGTCCAAATTCATATTTTTTTGCTCCAGTGGTGTCCTGGAACTTCTTGCTGGAAACTTGGACTTCACAGAGGCTGTCTTGTCTATGGGTGATTGATTAAGATAGTTTTCCCCAGGGGTTCCCTGGAGCCAGCTCATGCATCAGTGCAGACAGAGCCCACAGCCAGTGTCAAAGTCCGTCTGCATGTTACCTGCTGCACGGGTGGGCAACACTTCTCCCGGGCCACTTGGCATATGGTGCTGAATTCCAAAGCTCCCACAAAGACCATTTTGTCTGTGGATAGATGCCAAGTTGTTGTTTTTCTGTGGGGGAGACACTAATGAGGGAAGTCTTATTCAGCCATGATACTGACATCAATCCTGCCTGAGTGTTAAATCTCCTTGGTTTAAGGTTTGTAGTTGAAGCTGGTCATGAGAGCTACTCAGTTTAGACTGAACATGTTTCCATTATTGTATTTCAACCTTCTGTTAAGTCACTTTCCTTTTTTTTTTTTTTTTTTAATAAAATCATATGGATATGGGCACGTAGTGATTTTTCACATTTTCACAAACAGCCTGAGTAGTACTCTGTAGAAAAAAAGAAGGTGAAATAAAAGGAAAGAAGGTCCACTTCGGGAATCTTTGAGAAAATTAATGGAATTTTCTTATATTTCACTTTTGGAAAATGTTTAACTCTGGTTTTCTATCATCCTATTGAAGAAAAAGTACATGTTGCCTTTTTTATTGTGGATGATTGTTATATCAAAAGGATTTGCTTGAAAAACATTGACTATAGTGGACAAATTGGGGAAAAGGCTATTTTTACATGTTGTCTTTTATGCATTGAAATCTTGATTTTGCTGAAGAATCAAGTGGGAGTATCACAGACCTAACTCCTCAATAGTTTCCCAGATTTGGCCATTTTCCTCACCTCTACTGGTTAGAGGCCCTTCCCATATAAACAGATCATAATTACCTAGCTATTTAAGTAGGCATATATACTCTCAAGAGAAGGATGTTGTGAGATTCCCAGAGGTCCTAAGAATCTAATGATCAATAAGATTTTTTAAGTTGCAGGAGCTGTACCCCTCATATGAAAAAGCCCAAGAAAAATAGATTTTTTGAAAAGGAGGAATGACTGCATTTTTTAAAAAATTAATTTATTTTTGGCTGCGTTGGGTCTTCGTTGCTGCACACAGGCTTTCTCTAGTTGCAGTGAGCGGGGGCTACTCTTCGTTGCTGTGCGCGGGCTTCTCATTGCGGTGGCTTCTCTTGTTGTGGAGCACGGCCTCTAGGTACATGGGCTTCAGTAGTTGTGGCACACAGGCTCAGTAGTTGTGGCTCGCGGGTTCTAGAGTGCAGGCTCAGTAGTTGTGGCGCACGGGCTTAGTTGCTCCACGACGTGGGATCTTCCTGGACCAGGGATCGAACCCGTGTCCCCTGCATTGGCAGGCAGATTCTTATCCACTGTGCCACCAGGGAAGCCCGAGTGCATTTTTTTCTTTTTAAAGGAAGAATGAGTGCAGTTAGCAAATGTTATTACACTTAGGAATATCTGTACCTTTTGTGTAAATCTGAAGCTGTGTTATCTTCTGTACCTGGTATTTGAAAGAAGTAATCATTTCTAAAACTATGTAGTACAATCAAAGTAGATCTTTTGAACTGAAGAGAATATAGTCTGATAGGTGCATATTTATATGTTTCAAAGCCAAAGTAAGAAGAGTTCTAACTTATTCATGCAAACATTTTACATTTGGCATATTAACTCTGAGTCTTTATCAATCTCAGTTATCACTTATGAATGGCTCATTCGTGACTTTGTAGTCAGTGTTTCAAAATTATGTGTAATTAACATTTTTAATGATCAGTTGGTAGAAATTCTCACGTGTAATTTTTAAGCGTGACTCTGATAATTGGCCTGCATTCTGTTAATTTTTAGTCTGATGATCTATTTGCAAGTTGCAAAAATGGAAAGTTTATAGTCAAAACATCTCCCTCCCACTCTTGCCTTTTACTCAGTTGCCACGTTCAGAGAAAACCAGTGTTACTTCTTATTGTCACTGAGAGTTATAATGTGGATTTTGTTTTGTTTTCCTGGGGGATTGATTTTCAAAGCTCAAAGTATATTAAAATTGAGTTTTTATGAACTTCTTTGAGATAGGTGAGATGTCAAAGAACAGAATTAATGTAACAGTTTTGGGAGTGTACATTTTAAAAGTTTTAACCATGATATACAGAGATGGTAGAAATCAACCTGGAAGGCCTTTCTTATTGTGCCATGTTAGTCCATCAGATAAGTCTGTACTATCAGTTATCACTGTGGCTAGATCTGAAACTAAGCTGATGACTGGTATTAGTTACCGAATTGAAGTACTTTTCTATTTGTGCTATATCTAAAATGGTTATTTATTTTAAAATTCTGCTATTTTCAGAAGATAGCAGTTACGAGATGTTTAACAAGAATGCTTTAAGGATCTTCTTTATATCTTGGGTAGTAATATAGTTTTTACTCTAAAATCTCAGTCTTGGGTCTGTGGTTGATATCTGGGGGAATGTACCTATGTCGATTGTTGGAAAAGTCTCAGATATGTTTGTTCGCCTGGTACTTCCCTGCCAAGGAACCTCTTTTGTCCTGGAGAAGGCAAAAGATTGAGCTTAGTACATTATAGAACAATTTTTGAGCACTGTTTTCCCACCAACCTTGTTTTGTTTTCTGTAGGTGTAACTTCTTGTTTAGTGATATGGACCCTTTTAAATTTAGAATTGGGTGTAAATATTTCATCTCAAGTTATCTGCCCAGGAGCACTAATAATTTATGACAGTCTATGGTTGTGCTGCCCATTTAGCCTCTGGCCACATGAGCTTTTAAAATGGAAATTAATTACTTTCACGTGCTCAATAGCTGCATGTGGTTAGTGGTTACTGCATTGGACAGTGAAGATAGAATATCTCCATCATTGCACAAAAGTCTGTTGTATAGTTTGGGCTGTAGTATATGTAATTCAGGTCTGGTAGCCTGGGCTGCTTAGAATTACCCTCATCCCCATCTTCAGCCACTTGCTGATTTGTAAGGTTTTGTGGTTTTATTAAAACTCAGTATTTTTTTTTTTTTTTTGCGGTATGCGGGCCTCTCACTGTTGTGGCCTCTCCTGTTGCGGAGCACAGGCTCCGGACGCGCAGGCTCAGCGGCCACGGCTCACGGGCCCAGCCGCTCCTGTGGCATGTGGGATCTTCCCGGACCGGGGCACGAACCCGTGTCCCCTGCATCGGCAGGTGGACTCTCAACCACTGTGCCACCAGGGAAGCCCCAGTTCTTTATATATTTTTAAAAGAATTTTTCTTTACTTATTTCTTGGTTTCCATATTTCTGTTGTTTCTTTTCTTGTTAGAACATGTATGTGTGAAAAATATGCTTTGTTCCATTTGTCTCAGGAAGGACAAAAATGTGCTGTTTTGTGGTCCCATGTGTTTCAGGAAGCAAGAGGCTACTATGAGCAGACTGGAGTTGGTCCACTGCCTGTTGTCCTGTTCAATGGAATGCCCTTTGAAAAGGAGCAGCTGGACCCTGATGAGTTGGAAACCATCACAATGCACAAAATCCTGGAGACTACAACCTTCTTTCAAAGAGCAGTGTACTTGGTAAGTACTGTTTCAAGGCTGATCTTGAAAGAGAATGGTTTGCGTACATTTTTGTAGTCCTGTAGTAGGCAATAAAGTTTTCTATACACCACTCATAATTGATTTGCAGACTCCCAGCAGGTTCTGCTGTAGTGAAAATATCCCTGAGACTTTCTGTACGTTGTTTTTGTTTTTTTTTTTGTGTGGTATGCGGGCCTCTCACTGTTGTGGCCTCTCCCGTTGCGGAGCACAGGCTCCGGACACGCAGGCTCAGCGGCCATGGCTCATGGGCCCAGCTGCTCCACGGCATGTGGGATCTTCCCGGACCGGGGCACGAACCCGTGTCCCCTGCATCGGCAGGAGGACTCTCAACCACGGCACCACCAGGGAAGCCCCTTGTACGTTGTTTTTGAAATAACTAATTTTATTGGCTTCAAGATTAAATTTTATTTTAAAAATTCTTAAGAATTTAGCCATTCTAAGAGACATTTGTTCTACTTGTAAGGAATTTTGACTCAGAAAAATTCAGATATTTTTATATATATATAGATGGTTGAGATATAACTTACATGCCGTAAAATTCAGCCTTTTAAGGTGGACTATGCAGTGGGTTTTAGTATTTACACAATTATGCACCTGTCACCACTGTCTAATTTCAGAGCATTATCCTCACCCCTAAAATAAACCTGACGCCCAGCAGCAGTCACTCCCCATTTTCCCCTACCCCACCCCCTGACACCCATGAATCTGTTTTCAGTCTCTATGGATTTGCCTGTTTGGGACATTTTATAAAAAGGGATTCATATAATATATGGTCTTTTGTGACTGATTTATCTAACTTAGCATAATGTTTTCAAGGTTTATCCTTGTTGGAGCATGTGTCAGTACTTCATTCCTTTTTTATGGCCAAATAATATTTCCTTCAATGGATATACCACAGTTTGTTTATCCATTCATATTTAGGTTATTGCCACTTTTTTGGCTACTATGAATAGTGCTGCTGCTATAAGCAATCATGTAAAAGTTTTAATGTAGACATATGTTCTCAGTTGTCTTGGGTATACACTTAGGAGTGGAATTGCCTGCTAATGTAGTTATTCTATTTTTAATAGTAATTCCATTTTTAACAGAACTGCCAGACTGTTTTCCAAAGCACCTGCACCCATATACATTCCTCTCAGCAATGTATGCAGGTTCCATTTTCTCTAAATTCTAGCCAGTTGTTGGTATTGTCTGTCTCTTCGATTATAGCCTAGTGGGTGTGAAGTGGTATCTCATTGTGGTTTTGATTTGCATTACTCGACCATGAATGATGTTGGGCATTGTTTCCTATGCTTATTGACCATTTATTTCTCTTTGGAGAAGTGTCTGTTCAGATTATTTGCCTGTGTTTAATTGGGTTATTTGTTTTATTACTGTTGAGTTATAAGAGTTCTTTGTATATTCTGGACATGAATTCCATATTATTTATGATTTTCAAATATTTTCTCTCATTTTCTGGTTTCTCTTTTTACTTTCTTGGTAGTATCTTTTAAAGCACAAATGTTTTAAATTTTGATTAAGTTCAATTTACTTTTTTTTGTTGTTGTTGCTTGTATTATTTGTATCATATGTAAGAAACTCTTGCTTAATCCTAGGTCATGAAGATTTCTGTGTTTTCTTCTGAGTATTTTATAGTTTTTTCTCTTAACATTTAGTTCTTTGATCCATCTTCAGTTAATTTTTGTATATGGAGTGAGGTAGGATTCCAACTCTTTTTCCCTGTTCAATTTGAGACATGTACCTTGGGTATCTTTTTGAATATTCAGTTGCCCCAGCACCATTTATTGAAAAGAGTAGTCTTTCCCCATTAAATTGTCATGGTACAGTTGTCAAAAATAAATTGCCCACTAATGTATAGGTTTATTTTTGGACTGTCTCTTGTTTTCCATTAACCTATATATCTTTTTCTGTGTAAGTACCTCATAGTCTTGATTATTGTCATAATCAAGTGTGAGTTTTCCAAGTTTGAGCTTTTCTTTTTTAAGAATGTTTGGCTCTTCTGTGAATATTAAATACATAAACATATATGAATATGAAATAAATGTACAGTGAAGCAGTCATTATAATAGCAAAGAATTAGAAATAATTTAAGTATCCAACAATATGATGGAGCACAATGTAGCTATTAAAAAGATGTTAACTAAGAATATCTAAAGATATGTTTATATAACATGTTGCCAAGTTCTGGCAAGTGGATTATAAAGTAGTGTGGCCAGGCCTGATCCTGTTACTGTGTATATGTGAATGTGTCTGGGTAGGTGTGTTCATATGTAAGTATGTCTGTATGTGTATATGTGTATGTCTCTGTGTGTGTTAGGCTGGAAACAAATACCTCAAATGAGAAGCTTTTTCATGAACAGCATGGCGAGATTATGGATGATTGTTTTTCTTTGGACTCTTCTGTATTATATTTTCATCAATGAATATGTATTATATTGCAAATATGAAATAAAAAAGTTTTTTAAAAAGCACTAGCCTGTTTACCACCTCACAGATGGGAAACTGCTCAAGCACAGAGAAAAACAATTGATTTAAAGTTTGAAGATTAAAATGAATATTTTTAAAAAGTCAGATTTGAGTTCAGAGAGTGAGCTACAGACAAGATAATTACGTGCACTTGTGGTTTCAAAACTCATTGTGTAGTTTTAAATAAACATCACAAATTTCAACTCACTATTTGCTAAAATGAATGTTTTTAGAAAGGAACTCTTCTGATTTCAAATCACGTTGATTTAAATGAACACCTCCGCTTTTTAGTCTACTCTTTTCACCGGGCTCTTCTCTGTGGTCAGACAACCCCACCTGCCATTTTGCATCAGCTCACCTGACAGTTGTCTATAAAATTTGTGAAATTCCTAGTGAAATTTGATTAACTGAAACCTTAATTAATCAGACATGTGGGGCTTTGTTTTTTAGGAGAAAGATCAAGGAAAAAGAAAATAAAATATTAGGGGCTTAAAACCAACAAAAAGCCCCTAAAGCTCAGCTTTGCATGTGTGCTTTGTGCTTGTTCCATTTTCAGACAAATCGTAAAAATCCAAGCAAAAAGAACCCCAAAAAAGCAAATAAAAGAAAATTAACATAGCCCACAGTCTCTTAGATTTAGCCACCATTTGTGATTCTGTACATGTTACCAGTCTTTAATGCATACGCAAAACGCATGCACATGCACACAAGCATGTACGTACATACTCATACATCTGTTAATAAGGTGATGGCTGGGGATGCTTCCTTCCTCGTGGAAGTTTGTAACTGGAATATTAATATTTGCAATGTGTTGACAATTTTTAGTTTGCGGAGGTGGAGACATCATTTCTCCTTTGGAGCAGACTTCTAATGTTTTTAGAAAAAGTCCCAGTCTGGGCTCTTTAGTTACAAAAATATAAAGGACTTAGCTAGGATACTGAGAGAAAATGTCAAGCTCCCCATAAATATGACCGTGGCTGTGTAAAGTGACATGGCTACTAATGAAAACAAGGCTACTCTTTAGCCTGGCTATGCCCTTAATGTAATGGAGAAATGATTTTTATCTAAATGAAAGTTTGGGTTGGACTGTTGGTGTTCCTTTAAAAAAAAAAAGGGTTTGGCTCTTCTGTGTCCCTTTCAATTCCATAAGAATCTTAAGATCAGCTTGTCAGTTTCTGCAAAAAAGGGGCCATTGGGATTTTGATAGGAATTGTGTTGAATCTGTTGATCAATTTGGGGAATATTGACATCTTAATAATATTGAATCTTCTAACCCATGAACACAGGATGTTTTTCCATTTATTTAGGTCTTGTTACTTTCTTTTAATGATGTTTTATCATTTTCAGTGAAGAAGTCTTACACTTCTTTTGTTAAATTTATTCCTTAGTATTCTACATTTTACTCTTTGATGCTGTTGTAAATGTAGTTGTTTCCTTAATTTAGTTTTTGGATAGTTCATTGATAGTGAATAGAAGTGCAATTGATTTTTATATGTTGATCTTATATGCTGTAACCATGGTGACATTGTTTATTAGCTCTAAGAGTTTTTTTGTGGATTCTTTAACATTTTCTGTATAGAAAATACTGACATTTTTCAGATGACGAGGGCATGTCTAGGTGTGGAACTCGTGAGTTTTTCTTATAGTACTTTACATTTCTTTCTTGCTTATTTGTTTTTTACAGCAAACTACAGTATTTCCATTCCCTTAGTTTTCCACCTTTTCAAGACATCAAAATATGACTCACTATACAGATGTTTCAGGAGCCCAGACCAATGTATAGGCAAAGAAAATCTCAGTACACTTGAGGATTCTCAGTAGCTTGAGAGGGAGATCAAGGTCTGGCGCCCTTATAAGTGATGATTATTAAATCAGAGCTAATGGAAAGACTGAAATGATTTTTCAGTTTTGATCAGTATATTTAATTATTAAAAAATTCCCATGATTATTAAATCATCATAAAAAATAAAATTAAAAATCTCCCTCTGTATATAGCCATTCATCTTCCCACCTTCCAATAATAGGTAATTGCTGTTTTAACTTTCCTCTGAATTCTTCCAAAGCATTTTTGTATCTGTATGCTAACAATGAATATTTACTCCTTCCCAACCTTTATTTAAAAGTGGTAGCAAATTACGTAACTATTCTATACCTTGGTTTTTTTTACTTAACAAAATGCATGTTATGAATCTTTCTAATTCAGTGCATAGAGTATTCTCAGTTTTTGAAGACAGCTGTGTAGTATTCCATCACACAAGTGGGTTTCAATAAGAAGGAACAATTTTACCCCACTTGGCGGCACATTTGTCAATGTCCGGAGACATTTTTGGTTGTCATAACTGGGGGAAGGGAGGGGTGCTACTGGCATCTAGTGGGCAGGAATCAGAGATGCTGCTGAACCTCTTAAATGCTCAGGTCAGTCCCTCCCCCTTCCAAAGAAGCAGGACAGCACCTCCCTTTCCAAAGAGTTATCTAGTCCAAAATGTCAATAGTGCTGAGATTGAAAAACATAC